TCGTTTTATATATATATATATATATATATATATATATATATATATATATATATATATATATATATATATATATATATATCGTGTTTTCATTGTCAATATTAAGTTATGTTCCTACAGTGACAGCATCTGTTGGTGGAACAATGCTTGTTCTTGGGGGGAGTGATGACATCCGCTTAGCTTGTCTGTCTCGCTCCATAACGAGGACCTCCATATCGGTGAGAATGGGTTTATTGCGGAGCCATCTGCGCAGATCTCCCATCCGTTCTAGAGCTTCTCTGAACGCCTTCCTGTCGCTGATCCAGTCCAGGAGTTCCTCAGGTTTGTCTCCAGGTAAACGCGAGTAAAACTCAGCGGCGCCTCTGTGGTCTGATGCCGGCATTGCAGCTCGAGCGTCGAGGTGTTTCGGCTGTGGACGAGGTGATGTTTTCATTTTATCCATGATATGCTTCCTAAAGGCACTGCATTTTTGTGGTCCCAACGAACCACATGCTATTTGAAATAGGTACGTCTCTGTCAAATCTCGCTTTTTTAACCGCCTGAATTCCTCTACCAGCGTCGGGTCATCCAGTAAGCACTCCGTTCCCAATACTGGACTTTTTGTCATTGTTTAAAAATTAGCTGTTCAAATAAAATTAAGCTAAATTGTAATATACCAGGATTTTCAACGCCACTCACCTCTGTAAATGTAGATGTGAAGTAACTAAAGTCTATGTGTGGCATGTTTACGTGTATCCATGACATCCATTCTTCTTGTTCAAAGGTCAAAGCTTTTCTTCATTTTGACTCAAGACAGTCAAGGACTATACTGAAGCATCTTTTAGTTTAAATTATATTATATACCAAAAACAGAGAGAAAATTTGTCAGTTGCATCTCAAATTCTTTTACTGTTTATAGCATGTTACTACTAAAATACTATAATTTGACAACAGTGTCAAAAATAAACTATAATATTATATTTGTCATCTTGCGACTTACATTCAGGACCATTCTTACCTTTATGGAACGTTATTATTTTATAGGACCATATAAAACACACATCGGGTTGTTTCTTTACCTTAAATACTTTATTCAAATCAATACACTGAAATAAAATGTAAAAACCGAACAGCTGTTTTCATTTATAAAATACAAAAGTAGCTGTAAATAATGCACTAGTTCAGGGTAATCTTAGACTTTAATGTATTTGACTATATAGAATTTAAATTTTACAGACTATATAAGCATTCCATTGTCCAACCTGATTGAATAGAACAGTACTTGTGTTACTTAAACTGATTTTTTTTTCCTGGTATGTGAAAGTGTGTTCATAGACACTCATTCTGTTGCATTTTAATGAATAATATCATATTTTTGGTATTCAGCATTTAGTCTATCCCTGCAGTGCACGGTCCAGAATTTGATCTTCCGGTACTGGGTTGGGCATTGTGACTCTCAGCTGACGCTGGTCCTCCATGGTACGTTGAATTGTCTCATAAGCATTAGCATTGCCAGACCAGCATCTCCGTGCCACCTAATGATATGCACATCAGTATTTATATAGAACAGTATAATAAGTGTATATATAAACACACACATAAAGATACTCACCCCATTAGAGACATCCCAGTTCAACATTAGATTAGCTCTTTGCCCTGCGTCTTCAGATCCATCCAGAACCAATCCAAAACCACCATTCATCACTTCCCCCCTAAAAATAAAAACAAGGGTCAATAATTGATGCCCTACTGGTTACTAACTAAACTTTTTTTATGGTGCATTTTTATTCGTTTTGCTCAATCGGTAATACACAATTACAAGCCAATTAGTGACTGAACTAGAAGTAATTTCTAAATTAATATTCAGCAATAAATAGTCAAATGTCTCCTTACCATCCAACTCCTCCTCCATTGTGCAAAGCAACCCATGTGGCACCACGGAATGCATCACCAACAAAGTTCTGCACTGCCATGTCTATAATAAATGCACAGACATATTATATATGATTTATTATATTTTAAATAGGCTCTCTGAAATACATACTTCTGATTGGTCAATCAGAGCATTGTGGGGTCATATATTTTTGTATAATGAAAGTTAATAAAATTCAGATCATGTTTTTTTTTTCATGATAATTTTTTTATTCTCTAAATGGCTGTGTAATAAGCAAGATAATATATATTCAAACAGTCTTTCAGGATAATACAACACCTTGTTGTATTCTAATCACCTTGTCAGGTTTATTTTACTATGTCATTATTACTATACATTATCCCTTACTCAGTATAGTTAGTATAAGGAGTATGAGTTCACTTGTATTTCTGGATGTGTCTGTTTGTACCTGCACAGAAGGCAGAGCCATCATAAACATTGGAGGTCTCCCTGAAGGGGCTGTCTGTCCCGCTGACATCATGGTGGTCTCTACTGATGACTACTGGAGCCTGAGGAGGTAAAAACACAGTTGCACTATTATGTTGCAAAGTGTGTATTAATGAACCATAATTAAACGAGTACTGTAGTATGCACACTTCAGTAGCTTTACCGAGACTCTGCCCTTAGCAATGGCTTGGTTTATGGCCAAGGCGATGGATACTCTTCCTCGCTGGTCCGAATAGAGAATACGGGCCTGCGAACCCACAACCTAAACACAAAACTCAGTCTTACTATGCAAATAACAACCTGAACACACTAAGCATTATTATAACACATAACCTAAAAGATCCAGTACATTTAAACGTTTTAATCTTAAAGAAATTAATTAAAATGTATGTTTAAAATCATAATGGTATGCCTATTATTGGACATTGAATTAATTTTGTCTGACTGTGAATAACACATTTTCACAAAGGCATTACTTGCTTTGATGTCACCACTTGATGTCCGTATAAGTTCAAAATCGATCCGTAAATAAATTGATGTGACTACAAAATGAACATTGTGGTGATTTCGAATTGGGTGTCTGTGACTCGTACCATCTTGTGTTTCCCAGCTTCACAGATCCAGCGGATGTTGTCACTGTACTGCTGTCGGACACGTTCGGTTACTGTGGAACTTATCTCTTCTAGTACAGCAGTGGCGATTGCGTCGGTCTCAGCCAGGTCAGCAGGGTCACCAGAGGTACAGACCCAACGAAATGGCCCAAAACCCAGTGAGAAAATATCTCTACAGGATTGGGCAAAGATTAAAACTAGTCTGTGAGTGTGTGTAGTTAGTACATATATGTGTGTAAGCTTGCGAATGGTCACATACCCCATTATGTGTTGGACATATGAGGGATATTTAAACTCAGTAGCCCCTCCCCCTTTCTTCTCTACCAGCGCACCTTGAAGAGAAAGAAGAACATATTTACTGATGCACTTTTTGTTTTTAACGGATTTGTTTGAGGTTAACTATGCATACTTTGATGTTGAAAGGTTTTATTATATGGCTCACTGGAATACGTAATACTGACTGGATAATCATGGCATTTTACAACAAATTTCTATGGAAGGTTGTTTGCACCATGGCAAAAAAATAAAATAAAATCATATTAAATTAATAAAGGTATTGTGACTTTTTGTTCTCAGGATTGCAAGATATAAATTCAGAATTTTTGAGATATAACCTTGCAATTCTGATTGTACATTGCACAGTTCTGAGTTTATATCTTGCAATTCTGACTTTTTTCTCTTAATTCAGAGTTTACATGTCACAAATCTTTTTTGTTGTTGTTTCTGCCATGATAAAAAAAGGTAATTGTGACATTTTATCTCACAATTCTGATTTTTTTTTTACATTTGCGAATTGCAAGTATATATTTCAAAATTCTTCTCAGAATTACACTGACAAAATTAACAGAATTAAACTTGCAATTCTAAAAAAAAAGTCATATTTGTGTATATATACCTAGAATTTAGAGAAAAAAGAAAGAATTGTAAGATAAAAAGTCACAATTACCTTTTTTTCTTCTTCTCTGTAGCACAAATGAGCTTCCATAAATATCTTTGTATTAAGACATATTAGATAGATACAAGATAGCTTCGCATCTGTCCTATCACTCTGTGGCCTCTTTCTTCTCACTAAATGATATAATTCATAACTCATCTATTTATTTATTTATTTGGTAAGTGGCCATGTAAGGGCAGCTGACTCTTTACTTGCCTGCTCTCTGGGCCTCTAATAGAAAAGCATTTCCGTAGTCCCAGAAGAACATCCCTGCATCTGACAATTTATTGATGGCAGCCACCTGCCTGCGAAGACTACACAAGAGAGTTGCAGCTTATGTAGTTTTAAATAACTTGTAGTTATTTGTGAAACTCAGATCAAGAGATTTCTGTGTGTACCTTTCATGTACAAGGGTTTTGAAGCGCTCAGGTTCGGTGTTCATGAGCTGATTGGCTTGTCTGAAGGCGAGTTGCACTGGGTAATATCCTCCACTGAATGGATTATGAAGTGATGTCTGATCAGAACCCAAATCAACCAACAACTCTCCTGTCTTCTTATACTCCTGGTAGAGGCACTCCCTGAAACATATTGCACTTATAATTTACTAAAAAATGGAAACTATTGCAAATAAAATATGAAGTACACAACTTACCAGAGATCCACAATGTTGCCATGGTAGCCTAAACTCAAGGCCATCTTTGCCCTTCTGGCCTCCCTATAAGATTAAGCATAAGCTGAAGATATGTCTGTGTGTTTCAATGTGTTTCTATGTATATTTTCTTGCATACTGTACCTGATGCGTTGGATGCAGTGGCTCAAGTCACTAGTGATCTCCATCAGCCAGCCCTGCTCATGCCTTTTCTTTAGTGGAGCTTCATCAACCTGCAGAGGTCAGTTATGATTGTGCACTTTACATATGGATCATTTTAGGGGCCTGAGGGTGTTTTGCAATTTGGACTTGTGAAGAATGTGAAGAATCCAAACAAATTTTTAAGCAATTTGAGCCACTTTGCTATACGAGTTTGACTGAGGTTTGCTATAAATCCATGCTGTTGTTCTCTTATAATGTAAATATTCTGAAGGTTCACTTTTTTTTTGAATTTGCATAATTCCAAATATTTTATCTCAGTTTTATGGAAATTACTGATTGAGGGACAACTGTTTACAAATATACATGAAACCTGAAATGGAACACAAGTAAAATGGACCAAAATGAGACATATACCCACTTCTATGGCCAGGAAAAATGTGAATGCAAAACAACTGGGTTCACATTTTAGTCCATTTAAAGTTGAGACTGGATCTTTAAAAGACACCCTTAAATCATGTCGGGGCATTTTCTTTGTGATTGAATCTAATGTATATCTCACTGATTGGTAAGCAAATTTGTTTTTAACAGGAAACTTGAATAAACTGGCTAGCTAGAAATATATAATAATAGTGAGCATTGACTTTAACCATTTTCTAACCTCTGCAATGACCCCAACACAGCCAGCAATGACCGCTGCCTTTGCTTGTGCTCCGCTCATGCCTCCCAGACCAGATGTCACAAACACACGACCCCTCAGGTCACCTGAGCCCAAGTATCTCCGACCTGCATTGAGCACTGTCAACTATATACACAGAGAAATACTTGTTTAGATCTGCTTTTTGATGTTTTCATTTGATATAACAGAACATTTTTAATAGATGCATTGGTTACCATGGTGCCGTGGACGATGCCCTGTGGGCCAATGTAACAGTAACTTCCAGCAGTCATCTGCCCATACCTGACCATAAACACAGAGAAACATACACACTAGACAATACAGACTATACTATCACCCAATTCTTCAAGGATGCATTACATTGATTTTAAAGTTACAGTAAAAATATTTATCATGTATTTTACAAAAAATTATATTTGGAACTTTCTATATAACAAAGAATCCAACAAATGCATCACAGTTTCCACAAAAATATTAAGCAGCACAACTGTTTTAAACATTAATAATAAGAAGAAATGTTTCTTAAGCACCAAATCAGCATATTAGAATGATTTCTATATATATTTGTAATAATATTTGACAATATCACTGTCTTACTGTATTTTTAATCAAATAAATGCAGTCTTCATGATTAGAGATAGACTTCTCCCTTGTGCGGTCTTCGGTCACACCGAAGAATTTTGCATTTTGAATGTTTAAAAATCGTAGCTTCACCGGAATGGTACGAAACTTGGTGACTTGTATGGCACTTGGTATGTGAACACACAAACAAATTGAGGGCATGATTTGAAAAAGCGAAGTGCTTGTAAAAAAAATAGTCACACTCATGGTCCTCAAAAATGACCGACCATAGGAAATGAATGGGAAATGGCAAAAAAATAGAAAATACAGAAAATTTTTGTGTGTACAATCTACAAATCCTTTTTTTCAAATCCTTTACAAACCCCACGATGCAGAAAATATTGCACAGCAGTGAAGGGGAGAAACTCTAAAACATCTGGAGTGCAAAACAGACACATCCACTCACAGACACACACATACAGAATTATACACACTCAAATTAATTGGTATGGCTATAACCATATAGCCAAAATGAGTCAGAAAACTGAAATAAGAGGTTAAAATCAGATCAGGCCCAGAAGGATTAAGCTCTGATAAAGCATTCCTGTTTATTTTTGTTACATTTTTATAGAATGTTAATGTTTTGTATAACAAAATGCTTTCTGTATTCAGGTTTGACTGTAGTAATAATAATTAAAAAAACTGACGCTTCAAATCAACATTTAAAACAACAAAAATATATAAACCTTGACAAAAAAGTAGTCTTTGAGAATGCCTTAATATGCATTTAAATCCACAACCTAATAAAAGTAAACAATTATGTATAAAAACAACTAGGGAATTCACAAGCCTCTCTTTAGATTCCTATACAGGCATCTAGTGGTTACACCATGAAATTACAGGTTTTTCTTTCTTTGCTCTCAACAGGAGGTGCTAATCTGCCTTTAAAAAAATTGATTTTAAAGGCCTAGTCTCTATTTTAATCAGAGATACTGCATTGATTGAAAAATTGTTTAAAAAAATTAGAGAATTTTTTTTGGTGCTATTTTCAATGGGAAAAATGTATAATAATCATTGAATAAATATTAATTATTACCATAAAATTCTCTCAAAATACAAAAGAAAAAAACAGTATTGAACAAAAATATATTAGATTGATTTTACTGAAGAAAAAAAAAGTTACATTTCAGGTGTCCGGTCACGTTTGACCGCGAAGGCCATGAGTGTGACTCCCAAATGAGCGCACAAGGGTTTAAAAAAAATCTCACCAACCTCAAACTGGTAAACTAGAATAGTAGTGTACATATGCATATTTTCTAAAAGAGACTAGGTAATAGGTATTGGTGAAATCTCACATTGTAATGCCCATAGCAAACATCTTCTCATATTCCTCTCTGGAAGAATAGTTTGGAATGACCTGAAACAAAACAAGAAGATAAAGAGATGCACCCTTATGGGTAAAAATAACCCATGCTCATGCATAAAGGCCTGTGTGTATCTTACCATGCCGTTTGTGATTACACAGCGTGGAGAAGAAGGGAGGCTGGGAAAAAGACCCAGTGGATGACCACTGTACATCACAAGGGTCTGCTCTTCAGTCATGGTGCTCAGATAGTGAAATACCAACCAGAACTATGTATACAACACACACATAAACACAGTATATACGTAGAAAAAGGTGTATTATAGGTGTATAAAATATAAAATTACCGATACATAAATCTGTACAAATCTACCTGCGCCCAGTTGCTGAACACCTGTCCGTTTCCTCCATATGTGACAAGCTCTTGTGGGAACTGCGAGCAGACAAGCATTAAAATGAGAGCGTATTTTAGAGATACAGTACTTACACCATAAAATATGATCTTCAAGAAGGAAAAGGAAGATCCATAGGTCTAAAAGAAGAGGCCCCCTTGCTGAATAAACCTCCCAGCCATTTCTGGATTATTACATATCACATGTGAAAATGTACCTGTGCTACAGCAGGATCCAGGTTGTTCATTATCATAAGCATGATGGAAGCAGCTTGTCTTGTTCTGCATGGGTACTGATCAATAGGATAGGCTCTATAACACACACACATACAGTCACAGATACGGTGTGAAATGCTATGGTCAAGACATGGTATATTAATACAGTTGTCCATGTATGCTGTGCAATTGCTTATACCTCATACGTAGTGTAGGACAGAAGCGGTACATGTAAATGTGTCCATATTGTCTGAGCTCCTGCGCAAACTCTGTAGCCAGAGTCGCATGCAGATTTGGAGGAAAGTATCTCAAAGCGTTCCTCAAAGCCAGCTAGAGAGACAGAGAAACAGACTATGACAGAGGAGAGTTCAGTAGAGTTTAACTGAAGGGACCGACAGTGATCATGATGCAATCAAGTTACTAAATGTTTTGGTCTCTGTCCCTCATCCCCCATTTCACTGAGCATTCGTTCCTTTCTCTCTTACAAAACTCGGACTCTTATCTTCTCTAATGATTGACAGGGCTCACAGTGTGGAAAGATTTGGAAGATTTTGTATTTTTAACCACTGCTGATCACCGCGTAGAATTTAAACCTCCTAATTCATTTACAAATCTACAGTTCAAAAGTTTGGGCTCAGTAGGGTTTGTTTTGTTTTTGAAATAGTAATATTGTGAATATTACTGTAAAAATGACATTCTTACAACATTTCTTGTTATTATCATCAATGTTGAACAGTTTTGCTGCATAATAGCTGTGTAAACCACAAAATATTTTCTTTCAGGATTCTTTGACAAATACAAAGTTCAGAAGAACAGCAATTACTTCAAATAGATTTTTAAAGAAAAAAAAACTTTATCACTTTTAACTAATTTAATTTATCCTTGGTGAAAGTATTAATTTCTTTTACTTTTGAACAGTAGAGTATATTCCAGAACAACATTTCATTATAATTTTATGCATTTCATATTTTTGGGCTGTAAATAGCCGTTTCATTACACAACTATGTAAACTAATAAAGAAATTTTAAAGAATCAATGTGATTTGACAGAATCAAAAACAAATTTTTTTTTTACTGAATAACTTAAATCTCAGTCTGTTCCACACACAAAGTTATCATATCGCTTCTAAAGATTTGGAGTATAGCATACAAGTCATATGCATTACATATATGATGCTTTATGTTTTTTGTCCTTTTTGGTCCCCATGCACTGTCATTGTCTGAAAGAAAGCAGATTGGATATTCAGAATAGATGTGTCAGAGATATATTGACCCACCCGTTCTTCTGCTGGGGTGAAGTTTGGAGTACGGACAAGTGCATGAGGTATGCTGGGGTCTCTGCCACGGTTTGGAGGAAGAGGATCAAGGGGTAATCCGGCACAGATCTCCTTTAGGCTGGACATCACTCCTGTATTCACAGAGGAGATATAAAGATATGAAAACAGCAGATATACATTTCAAATAAATCTCTGTATCAGAAGTTTTTACTTACAAGTTCTCTCAAGATTCGTCTGTAGTTCACAGGAAGAATTACAGAGGTTTATATGAACACTGCCCCGCTGACCTTCTAACCTCCTCCCTATCACTGCATTGGTCAGTTTACTTGGTTTTCCCTCTAGTCTCATCCAGTAAGAAACTTCAGATATCCGTCAGGCAATCATTGAACAAGCTAAACATGATGTGGCACTCTCCCAAAAACAACCAGTTCAGAAACATCAATTTCCTTTTACTGACCTTTGATGATTGACTCAAAGGCATTGAAAAATCTAAAGCTATCTTCCATTTAATTTTTTCCACCATGTGCAAAATTAGCTGTCAAAATATATCATTCAAGAAACCTCATTCCTGTGCTTTTTTTTTAACAGATCTCATTTAAATATGTCAGTACCTTGACTGACAGAATTAGCTAGAACTGAGAAGAAAAAATTCTGTCACCATTTACTCAGCCTCATATCATTCCAAATCTGTATGACTTTATTTAATATCTCATGATATACAGATGTTAGACAGTATGTTTTGAATCAAAGATTTTAAATTTCAACCTTTTACGTAATCTCAAACTTTTGGACCCAATGTGAAAGGTGATTCATTAACCTCCCTTAAATTACTTTGATACTGTTTGACTAAAGCAGCACACAGTTATATACATATATACTTAAATGGCCAAACAATATAAAATTTATATCACATTTCACACGTAAATACTTGTACTCACTCAATTACCATGTCTGACACACGTTAATCTCAGTAGACTTTAAATCACACACTTTCACACGTCAATTTTTTGTAACGAAGTTACACTGGGATTAAGGTGATTATAGGAACAAAATAGAACAAAAAAAATGACAAAGTAGTATAAAAAAGAAAAGGAACACAAAATGTATAAATATGAAGTTGATATTTTTCAGAACACACTATAAGAGAGAGTTCAACAAAACATCTATCCTATATATGGTTCCTTTTTCTGGATGTCTCACCATTTTTTAAGATATCACATTATATATTTTAGGATATCACGTTCATCAAAAAATGTGTTGGAAAAATATATAGTCCATACATTGTTACTTTCTGCATTTATTCAGTGTCCCTGTTTCCTTTATGTCTCATCTTTGACTAAAGCAGCACACAGTTATATACATATATACTTAAATGGCCAAACAATATAAAATTTATATCACATTTCACACGTAAATACTTGTACTCACTCAATTACCATGTCTGACACACGTTAATCTCAGTAGACTTTAAATCACACACTTTCACACGTCAATTTTTTGTAACGAAGTTACACTGGGATTAAGGTGATTATAGGAACAAAATAGAACAAAAAAAAAAGACAAAGTAGTATAAAAAAGAAAAGGAACACAAAATGTATAAATATGAAGTTGATATTTTTCAGAACACACTATAAGAGAGAGTTCAACAAAACATCTATCCTATATATGGTTCCTTTTTCTGGATGTCTCACCATTTTTTAAGATGTCACATTATATATTTTAGGATATCACGTTCATCAAAAAATGTGTTGGAAAAATATATAGTCCATACATTGTTACTTTCTGCATTTATTCAGTGTCCCTGTTTCCTTTATGTCTCATTTTAAAAACAGATATAAATAGATTAAAGTAAAACAAAATCCAATTTTCCATTCTCCAAACGACAAGGTCATCGCTATCAACTCTAGTCTTATGGCTAGAATTGTTTCAGATCTTGCTTTAAACTTTAAGAGCAAACAGATAGCTAGTTATTGATAACATAAATCAATTTAAAAAAAAAAAAGTCCATTTCAGGAATTGACTCTGAATTACCTTCCTCGTTGACTGTATTCATTTCTTTCTACACAGAAATTGTAAAGTAAATGTAGCAAAAGCAGATACAAAGCAGTGCGTGCGTTGATTTCCCAGCGCTTTATCATCAATATTTTGCAGCATCAACTCCAAAAATTCCGTTCTCCAGCAAATGTCCTCCTCTATCTATCCGTCCTACGGTCATTCATTGGTCATGCCGCTTTCAACCCACGTTATCAAATCAAATATCATGACGTCATAAACAGTAGACGAGGACCCAAAATTTTTGCCTCTCAGATTGCCTGTAAAAAAATAACAAACCTATCATTCTTTTAAGCTTAGGCTTTAGGAAATTAATAGAACAGTACTGTTTAAAATGAGAAGTTTAAACGACTTTAGTCACGGACACTTAAATTATGAACATTCCATCAGCGGTTAAACTAATTTCACAACCGTGGCAGCCATAGCATACTTGAGTTTTCTGAAATATGGTATTTTCTTTGTAGCTAAACATAGCGAACACAATTCAGAGGGCTTGTGAAGTACTGCAGATGTTTTTATAGAAACCTGCAGAACAGCTCAAACTTTACCATGTCATATGTGAAAAGAAAGAAACAGCCATTCTTACATTCACATAAAAAGATTTGGATTTGTCCAGTAAGCCATGCTCACAAATAAAACACATCTTATCTCCCAAAAATGAGTTTTTATTGAGAATGATCAGTCTTTGCTGGATATATTTGTTCGGAACATTTTTATTATTTTTTTTAAATAAAAAAAAAAAAAAAGGAAAGGAAAGACTTATTTTACATGGTTGCACACTGCATTAAATGTCATATATACAGACACCCAATGATACAGTAAAAAGGGCTTAATTTTTTCAGGTGTAACCAGTTCTGTCTGCCACCAAGCACTTTCAAAAACAGAAAATTCTTGAAGCCTACTGTGTAAGATGTGTTCTGTACAAAAGGATTCCAGCGTAAATGAGTACACACAAAAAATTTAATAAAAAAAATAACACGCCTCTGGTGCCACGCTGTGCGCTGCATTTCTCCTGTTGTAATGTTGCCTTGTTTAGAACTGACAAGCTATTCTGCTGACAGATCTTTTGCCATAACTAAATCATCACGTTTTGTATGATTAAATACAGTATGAGGAGTTAGAGTGAGCCTTACAGCTATTATTGGAAAAATAAATGTCGGTAAGCTTCACTTACAAGATATGACAAACTGAGACGTAAAAGAAACAGTTTGTGTGCGTGGAGCCAAACTTGGCAGTGTCGAGTAAATCAAATCAATCACTCAACATTAGCAATACTTTCTAGAAAATCCTTTTACCTGGCATAACTAGGATCAGACAAGAAATAAACATAAGGGTGAATATGACGGGATTCAGTGACACGTGGAGATGGAAGAAGGACAGACTGAGAAGGGAAAACTCCTGAATATTCCTAATCCGAGCTCACAGAGTCCATCTTTACCGTCCCATCACTGAAGTTCAGCTCAATCACTGAATTTTAGAAATGTTTTGCCACTTCTGACAAATAGGAGAACATGCTCAGCCGGAACTAGCGTTCTCCCAAGACAGCACTTGTGACAGACCATTATAAATGCTTAAATCACACCAAAAGAAAAAAATAAAATGACAACAACAATCATAAAAATAATAAAAGTGTTTTATAAGGTGTCAGCAAATGTGTGTGTGTTTTGTGAGTGTCCTTGTTTAGAAGAGTAGCGCTCCCATGCTGCCAACTTCACTCTGTTCCTTAACAAATATTTCAAAGTACTGATAGATGATGGTAACAGCCAATAGGATTCCTGTTCCAGAGCCGATGGCACCCAGGAAGTCAGCCATTACTGAAAGGCCTCCGATACACAGTCCACCAAATGCAGCCGCTGTGGGGATGTACCTGAATAACAAAGAGAATGTGTGAGATTAATGAAGGTCCTGACAAGCAAGTACTTCAAAAGTTAATGTGTTTGTAGCTCACCTGTTGAGTTCATGAACCATGGAGGTCTCTCTGTGTCCCCTCATCACCATCTGCTGTTCTTTCAGCTGCTTGGCCACCTAAAAACACACATACAACCATTACATTTTCATATCAAATATCCAAAAACAACATTGATAAATGAACAAGAACTAGTAACACACATCTTTGGCAGATGATCCAGAAACTTCAATCCAGGTCTTAGAAAAGAAGGCACAGGATCCCAGCATGAATACAATGTAGATCACTGTATGGACTGGGTCTTCAAGCACAGAACCAAATGACTCTGGAGGAGACAGATAGTAACACAGACCGCCTACAGGGTAGGCACGAGCTGGACCACCAGATGAGGAATCCTACAACAACAACAACAACATCAAAAATACAAGCTATTAGGAAGGTTTCCTCTTCCATATCTAGTTCTATTTGGTTTCTGGTCTGCATCCTATAAAATAATCTCTGGATTTGCACTTTAAATTTAGCAGAAGACATGGTACACAGCAACAAGCACTGGTGACACTTACAGACCAAGTCCCCAGTAGGTTGACCAGGAAATTTCCACTGAAGCGGGTGGAGAGCATCTGAGAAATGACGTACAGGTTAGAGACCAGAGCAGACTGCAGCATGATGGGAATGTTGGAGGTGTAGAACAGCTTGATGGGATATGTGTTGTACTGGCCACGGTAACGTGCAGACTTGATGGGCAGGTCAACTCTGAAGCCCTGTACAAAACAAAATTCACACATTTTTCATCAATAAATCCATTTTAAAAGTACTTTATTGTAATTATTGTGTTTACATATATTAATATTATTGTTTAATATTGCCTAAGCATTATACACAAATACAGCGGGTAAAATAAGTATTGAACACGTCACCATTTTTCTCAGTAAATATATTTGTAAAGGTACTGTTGACTTGAAATTTTCACCAGATGTCGGTAACAACCCAAGTAATTCATACATACAAATAAAACAAAACAAATACGTTCAGAAATTAAGTTATGTGTTATAAAATGGAATGACAGGGACAAAGTATTGAACTACTGAAATGTATTTAATACTTTGTACAAAAGCCTTTGTTGGTAATGACAGCTTCAAGACGCCTCCTGTATGGAGAAACTAGTGGCATGCATTGCTCAGGTGTGATTTTTTTCTTTCTCTGAAACCAAATGAGAGTTTCCTTGGCTGTGTTTGGGATCATTGTCTTGCTGAAATGTCCACCCTTGTTTCATCTTCATCCTGGTACTGAAGGTGTTGGGACTGAACCAGATAATAACCAGCTAAATAATTTCCACTGACTATGGGCAGGATTGCTTTCTAATTACTGATAG